TGTCATGTTGATCCGTTGCAAACGGCCATTGCGCATACGAAAAAAACTAGCCACTGAACGCGAGCGCTAATCCAGACGTTAGACATAATATAGAAAGTCTTGGAGGCCATTTTAAATCATAAAATGATCGGCAACAACACATGTGATCCACTTAAACTCTCGCTAGGCACATACTGGGTGCACAGCCAAAGCACCTAACTCAGTTGCCGTAAGGTCAAGCTGATGCATATCTTACGACAGGCGCATACAGACATATATATGAATATGCGTCTATGTTATAGTGGAACTACTCTCATTCGCCGTTAAAACACAAAGGCCTTTCGGCTTCATGGACTTCTATCTATGAGAGCAAAAAATTTTGTTCCATTGTCAACAGATCAACCTGGAGAGATCGCTATATCCTACATGTATAATTTGCTCAAACTAGTACCGCCAATAATGTTTCTCTTACGCGGATACTAGAGCTATACCAATGTAAGTTTAAGCGATGTTTCAGTAGATACAATGGAGCAAAGCTTGCTTTTTTTAGGTCAGATTGTATAGTAAAATTGCCAAATCTAGATGTATAATGTGTGATATAAATTCCATGCTTGTCCGTAAGATGCTTAAATATTTTAATGTTTCTAGTTTCATGTCTATACTGTACAGATGTCCACTGCACGTTAGATTGTCGAAAAAGTATTGACCATTTTTCTACGGTAATAGGTAATACCGGTAACAGGAGTCGCGCACCGTTAACGCATTTGAAAGCCGAGATTGGGCAGAAATTTCTGCAAAAAAAAGTTCGCTTTATTTATTTAGTTACTGTTTTACTGTCGGTGAAGGCACAAACGCTGTTCGAGCCCATAAAATGCTTATAGCCACAGTATGTGCCATCAATAAAAATGGCATAAATATAGTTTCGACGTGAGAGATGCTTCTCGTAGCGGTCGACGAGTCAATCACGAAAACAATCGATGAAATGATTGCGAAAGGATCGATAAGTGAGAAGCCATGATGTCGCAACGGGATTAAACATCTACCGCCTGACAGTTTTAAGCTCTTTGAACGAAACTGGCTACAAGAAAGATTCGATGTTTGTGTGTCACACGGACTGACATCAAAGCTTGCTTTATTACATACCCATCTACGAGGTGGGTACGGATGATGACAAGTGGGCCATATATGACCAAAGCGTGCAGGTAAAAATTATGCTACACGGTCTGAAGCAAAGTCTGAACGATACTATATGTTCGCTGGAACTGAAGAGAGCTGTGCATTATGAAATCTCGCCATCTGGCAAAATGGTTGACTTGAACCTCCAGCATTACAACAGGCCACTGGAAGAAAATCAGCCAGAAATATTGATCAGAGAAAGCATCGTCTTCCAACATGGCAATGTCAGATTGATACATATTCAACACAAATTGCCCGGATGTTGACCATCAAAATATTGTCTGTTCTGATCTCTGAATAACCAGTTTAATGTTGTAAAGTCACTCGTCATTGATCAAAATGGCGCATACTTAATTCTTTTAAGATAAAAAGTATAAAAGTTTGTCGTTGTTCCAAAAAAAAAGTCATGACCTTTTCGACGAAAATGCTGTTGCTGGATCCAGATTAAATTATTCAGTGTATTACAAATGTACCGGTTATCAATCCGGCAAGATGTACGTCTTGAGCGGTTTCATCATCGCCGCAGACATCGATCGTATTGCCTCTGTCAAACTTCAAGCGACCGTGCGTATGCCTTAACCTAATAAATCCGGAATCGTTGATTTCATACGACCCATTACAAAAAACCTACTACGAGTCTATCGTCGCATGTGTCAAACTCCGCATGAGCAGATTAAGTCAAGCAGAGGACGGCCCGATTATTTAGAAGTTTGCCAGTATTATGCTCGGCCTTGAACCGTCTAGGATTCTAGCAATATCCGGGCTATATTTGAAAAAAGGTGCCGTTTCGCGTTATTATTCGTATAAGAGCTGTTAGGTTTTTATCAGTACGAAACAATCTCTGGACCGTTACCGAGTACGGAAATTTTACGCGACCGTTTGTTCTCAACATATTCCTCTTATAAATAGGCTAGGGGCATTCACGTATACTGCAGCAATCTTAAATAACTTATTTTTTAATAGACTACCAACAAACACTATTAGTTTATTCTATTTATAATACAAAAATGATCGGTATTCAAAGGTTACATTAGTGTCAAATTTTGCGTCTTTATTTTATTCATAGCATTTGAGAAGCTCAAAAAAATCGATATTAATCTCCTGATTTGTATCTGAACAAAAAGATGCTTAACGTGAAGTTAAACGTTATCTGGATCCTCTTTTTTTCCTCTCTCTGTAAAACGGACGCCCAATTCTACCCATACTACAAGTTACTTTGTCAAAGTTTAGCGAGTAACTCTTATCAAGCAAGAAACTTCATTCCATTCACTGCTCCTCGAAGTCCGAAGCGAATAGGAGGCAAACGTCCTGTGACACGTGCGACGTTTGAAGGGACCGTGGAAATAGTATCGGCTCCCAAGAAGTAATTGTTAGAAACTTGATCCATGCGTAAGATATAAACACCGATGTATCGTAATGGCCTATAATGACGAGGCTGCTGTTGTTTTCGCAATAATTCCGATCACTGCGTGTGAGAGTATATACGTCGGCCAGTCTCGGAAGGAGCACTAACAGTGGTGAAAATAAGTGGGCGCTCTCGTCTGACATATTGCACATTCATCCGCTACCAATACAACGCACAGTATCATGCTCGTACTCGTACATACGCTGACGCCATTGCTATTGGTCAGATTACAACTACGACAAGTGTTCTTCGTTCTTCCTAACCATCCCCCTCTTCCCCGCTCTCCCCCTGCTCTGACTCGATCATTCGGCGCTGCCCCCATGAACGGACGGTGTCGTTCTTGTTGGTGGTCGCTCGGACATCCGCGTATTTAGATACATCCACTGTGTCGCTGTACTTAGAAGTAGCAGTAGTCATACATTATCTGTCCGCTGTCGCCAATCGTAGTTATCACTATGAGGACAGTAACAATAGCGGCAGAAGTTCGCCAAATAGTCGTAGACCCGTTCCGGACATCTACTGCTCGGCGGAAAGACAGCCCCTAACACCACGCGGCCGGCCACTGTGCGATTGTTTGTGCGGCCGTAGTTGAAACAGACACCGGGGCCCCTACCGCTGCCCCACCGTCTCGGAGCTGTGGGCCGTCGGCCGGGCATCCCGCCCTAACACAGTAGTACTTGCACTCGAATATAAGACACACCAATACGATATCATTCACAATAACTGCCGAACAAATTTCTGAGCGAAGTATTTGTCCACGGGTTGTCTATTGTCGAGCCTTTGCGGCAATGCGTGCGACGAGGATACTGACAATGGTCTTAATGACGATAACGCTGATTCATCTGATGTTTGTGCTGGCGCTGTGTAGTGCTTGTGTTTTTGTGTATGCGAAGAACTTGATTACGCTTCACTGTGTCTAATTATACTTGGCTCTTAAATGTATTTACCGCTTATCGAATTATGCACGAAAGGTAAGATCGGGTGAAGCTAGTCATCCGCACGCTCCATTACGATGACTACTCAAACCGCTCCCACGCCATTTGCATTGCTATCGTTCGGCCTACAGACAGTCGCACCGTGAGAGACACTGCTCGACTCGAGTTACTACCCTGCCTGTATACTTGGTGCAGCAACAGAACGCTAGTAAGCTTCTAAAGGCAATTATGATTGAATTGTTTAACAGACAAAATGAAACAGGCTCATTTATTCAGTTAGCATTGATAAGAGCCTACGGAATTGTGCATCTAGCAAACAAACAACAATTGGTGTAGACTACTGAATACTCTATACGTTCCAAAAATGCCTCTGCCGCTAGCGTCCCAATAACTAAACGAGACAGGGCAAAAAAGCAGACGAAACGACCAAAGGCAAAGTCAATTTAGCCGTAATAATTGTCCGCTTAAATTTTGATTATAGAAATTGGCTCGACGAAATAGGATCGATCGATCGATGCCCTCATCAAGATCGTCGTCCATGGTTCTGGCACGTTGCTAACAACTCAGTGTGGCCGAATAGACTCAATTATCGATAGTACAGATATGAACGCCCGCGAATAGAAAAAAAATAGGCGATAATAAAACAGTCCTTGGACTTAAACGTTACCCATTGCATTAAAGGATTCGCTTTCCAATCCACTCGCTATATGCTTCGTACTCTCGTACGATACACACTAATATACATACGCGTAGACACAGATAGATCCGCATACAATAGCTTCGGCTAGAAAGAGTACGCGTCTGAAGGCAAGTACGCTAGAGTCAATAATAACGATGAGGGAAACGTCAGCAATGATCATCCATAATGATTTTTAGTTGTGGCACACCTACGAGGCCTAATCAAGCCCAAAATTATACGCGCGTTCGTGTTTATCTTGTAAATAAATAATATCATCTGCCTTATAAAACCGCCTTGGATCGTATTACTACGTGCATAATTGAAAAGAAATCCTATCGGCGTTAATCAGTATTTGTCTAAAACGAACTTTTTAAGGTAGAAGACCAAAAAAACGCCGAAGAAGTCGGTCGGGACTATTTCCTACAGATAATAACAAAGCGCTAGATCTAAATATCCTCACTGGATTATTGAAATGCACGAACAAACTGCCATAAGTTAAAAATTGCATGCTTATTATCTTTAAATTGGACCTGACAAATCGGATTACATTCGACAGCTAACTTTTAACTTTGATAACTTGAGATGTCGACAGGTCACACTAATAGTTACGTATAGATCGATTGCATCTAGATTAAGTGATCAGTAATGCTTTCTCGAGCTTCACTTTACAACGATGAATTTGTCACGATTCAAAATAGAGAAAACATCACAGAGGTTTCATACGCCCTGATGTAAACTCTGTGCTATTTTTTTATTTCAAATTATTTATTATTAATTAAGCTTAATGTTGTTCTTGTTTTGTTTGGCTATGTCATCTGCTTTTCAGAGAAAACAGCGTAGTCGATGCGTGTACGTTGCCGAACGTTTTGGCGTGTGCTCCTTTTTCTTGTGCGTTCCGCTGCCTCTCTCACTACTTCTGGCAGGGGTTTTTCAGGCACAGGGAGCTGTCGGCTTGAATTCAGACCAGAAAGCGGCATCGAAGCTACTTCGGCCGCGGCCCGAAGAAAGATACCATTTTCCCCAAGCGCTTGATATACCCACGCCCCATAGAATGCCCGAAGTAGACGTAGAGACCCTATTAAATATACTCGGAGATGACTTTCAGCCAAAGTATATGAGCATCACAAATCCCAACGATGATGAATTGAAGTAAGTCTATGTTGGTATCTTGCTATTGTGTTGAATTAATTCATTGTCGCGTTATGCCGATGCATGACTTGAACCTTCGTGCAATTTATGCACACGAAGTCTATAAATTATACCTGAATATACCTATAGATAAATGATGTGCTAGTTCAACAGTAGCGTTATAGTGGACAGCAGGTGTTCATTGAATCTTTTTGACTTTTTATTCGCAGATTAAGCAACAGCACCAAAAGACACCGACAGCATAAACAGCGTAAAAACAGCGCCTCAAGTCGGGAGTCCTTGAAGGCGCTATTGAGTGGAAGGCTTTCAGAGGTTCCGCGTGGTCAACCGGAGTTTCGACGTACACTGCGAAGATTTCTACGAAAACATACGGAGTGCCGAATCGCTCGTTATTGGCACGATCTGGGCGATCGATACTTCCCTCGTTACGTTCGTGAAGGCACCTGTCAACAAACGCACGTCAGCTGCTCGATACCTCCTGGTAGGTTATAGAGCCTGAATAATTGTGGCTCTAATCCCTTTGAAAGCGCTTATTTGAGGTATGTAAAGATTGTCAAAATAATCTTCAGCTGTTCACTGTGACGTGAATTGTCGAGATTATTTAATCTTGTAAAAAGAAGTCCCTGAATTAATCGCTCCCTCAGCTAGCTAGCTAGCTAGCTAGCTAGATGCTAAGCAGGCTGTTTTATATATTAAACAAGTATGTTTAAACCTAAAGTCAAAATATTTTTAAGCTATGAAAGCATTTATTGTACAGTATTTGCGGTTCTTCTGAAAATATATTGTCAATGTTTGTTTATAATATGCGAAAATACGATTGTGTTCATCTATAGGGATGTTATGCCAACCTCACAAACAAAAAGAGATTAAGCTTCTTTGGTGGCATTGCACGACGGGCGGATATTCGACACGAACTCAGGTCAACCAGCCTCACTACAATCTCGAAAGGCAAAAGTGCCGATGGATCAAGATGATTTACCCTGTGCTAAGTGAATGTACGTGCAAATGTAAGGCCGAAGACGAGTCGTGACGCACGTTCAGCGAATTCAAGCGCCAAAACGCAGCCCGCCGAGGATCAACAAGCGGTCATCTAGGAGACGGAGTAGTTGTCTGTTTACACTGTGTCCTCCTCCTGGCTCACCTTACGAGCTCAAAAGTGAGCCTACACCGAAAAATGAGAATATATAACGAACAATCGTAAAAACAGGCTACCGAAAATTACAATTATGGCATCGTCGATTTCAGATTTGGAGGATTCATCAAAAGTAGATCTGCTGAAAGAAAGATTTCAGCAAGCATTTCCGATTGAAAGCTAGTAAAAAACGAGTCCCACCACTCGCATTTCAACAAGAGTGGTGGGACAGTGTGGGCCTTGGCAAACTGATCTAAAGAAAATCGTCAGTATGCGATTACCTACAATATGATTGAAGTATATACGACTGGCATAAATTTTTCTGCATTGTCCAGTTTGGAAAATAAGCAAAATAGTATCGAAGATACGTCAGCCCTTCGTTGCACATATGAAGTACATCTGTACAAACGACTCAAGTCTATGCCCAAATGAAGCAAGAATCCTTTTTTATTGAATCGTTTTATGCGTAGGTTCTTGTTATTGATGCTGTCTGACGGTAAATGCGCTGTTCAAACGAGAGAATTACCTCAAAAAGGTGATAGAAGGACTATCACAAAATAACTTTAGTTATCGAATAGAAAAAGTAGTAATAGTAATTATGGTAGTAGTCTATTAAACAATTGAACAACACATTTCCTTATATTCATGGATAAAAACACACGCATATGTATGTATATATGCCTTGTGTGTATATATATAATGTTCGTGTGATGGGCGAATAGGTGCTTCACGATACCCTACAGTGTCATCTATATGTTAGGCCCTTTCCTCCCTATCATGTTTGGAGTGACCCATACAATATTTATATACAAATGATACTGCAGATTGTGGGTATAGTTAGCGGACAAATTTTTAGCGCCATACTTATTGCTTCTTCGACATCACAAGACAACATCTAGAATGTCCTTAATAGGCCGAAGCCTATATCCGTCTGCTGTTTGGTTCTGGACCCCTCGTGAGTACTTACTCTGGGCTCGAGAACTGCTCCTTTGTCTGTTTAGTGTTTTAATACAGTTTCAATTGAAATCCTATAATTTGCCATTTGTAAGTGCTTGGGAACCGCTCGGAGTCTGTGTCTCTAAGGTTTAAAAGCAGACCATTGCCACTGGACGAATACTACGATGGCTTGGCGTGACAAACCTGACGTTTATCACTTCCGATGTTCTGTGACTATTTCTGCTGGAGAACTGGTGTATGGACATGCACAAATATATGGGAAGTCTCCTTCGCGTGCTGCGGTATAGATTCTACGATTGTGCTAGTGTTTCACAGATCTCGAGACAACATATCCCTGCCATCACCCGCATATCAATAAACGTTGATACTGTCTTAATACAAATTATGTTACGCTTATAAATGTTTCGGGTTTTGAGGCCTGGCATCATCGTTAGGTATAATATACATCCAACAGTTGGCTTCCTACCATGAAATGAATTGTCTACCTCTGGCTTTTAAATATACGCCTCATATGCGTCCCTATTGTTCAGAACTATAGAATAACTGTCTCATAGATTTCGAGATAACTATGCAATATATTCCTATATATATATATACATTATTGTCACGTTTAGTTTGTATAGGTGTAAAATAAACTTTGATTTATCAGCATCAAATGGACTAACCATGACAATCAGACAAACAGTAAGAAAATCTACTAATACGAGTACTGTATATTCAGCAAAAATTTATTTTTGTCATCTGTATATTTCATACAATTCAGGAGACGTGATAGATGAAAATACATAGGGACGAAATTTACCTATCATTCGCCATTATCAGCTGTGTCTCTCTCTCACAGATCTTTCAAGATGCCTTGCTACCAGTAGCCATAATCGGATTTAGCGTCCCAATCATCAATCATCACAACCGATAACGTAATTGCATTGAAATATCGACAAAAACTAAGATAATAATCAATCACCACATATCTATCTCCCTTTTCTCGTCATCAATAAGCATCACTATTGCCACGCTCGCATCAGACAAACCGTTCTACCTGCTGGTACAAACGCTGTAGAACATGGGCAAAGTGTGGAAGGCAATGTCCCATGTTCGATGATAGCCTTTGTCACAATAAGGAGCGATCCAACCCTCAACGGTACGCGCGACTCATTGATTCACTTCGTACTTTTCTTCCTTTTTTTATCGGAGCGTCTCAGTCGGATATGTTGGTTGCAGCGAGACGAAAACATCACGACGAGTCTCACAAAAGAAACGACGCAGAAGTAAATAAAGCCTAATCTTTATAATGTTTTTGCGCAGGCTGTATATAGAAATATGTGTAAATACTATTTATTATTTATATTAACCAGACATACAAAATTAATAATAAATTTCAAATTGTTCAATATAGCAGTGTTATGATTATAGTGTATGAACGGAAGCGGCGTGTGTCTATGGCACGACGAACTAGATCCTAGCCTATGTTTTACACGAACTTTTGCTTCCCTGTCAGTCATTCAGGATCTAGCGTAAGCACGAGTCAATAGCAAAGTTCACGGCATGGTTTACTGCAGAGTGTACTGCAGACTTGACAACAGCTGCAGGACTTAACAATATTCGAAGTAACTTTTGAGCTATACTAACGTTTAATATTAGTTGATATTGTATAACTTGACTATAATATTAGAGTTAAAATAACATCTCAAATCTTTTTTTTTTTCTTTGCCCAAGTAAGGTAGCTCGTAGACGCTGTACTTACTTCAGAAAAGATATGGTTCATGACCGCTATCGAGATTATTGCCCATACGTAATAGCGATTTTATACCTAGTTCACTGTAGATTCTATGGAAAACTGTTCTAATTATTTCTGTCATAAGATCGATTTGTTTTCCATCGACATATTACTTCCGCAACTGTAGTTTTTAGCAGAAAAGCAAAAAACAATTTTTTAATTTTTTTAAAATGATTGCGATTTCAAAAAGATCTTTTTAAACGAAAAACGTTTAACGTAAACGTTTAACAAAATGCTAGAATTCTTTGAAGGGAGATCACGTAGCATCTGGCCAAATATATTAAGTTTTTCGAATTTATCTGGCGAATCGAGAAACTTATATCTTTTAATAATACACATATGTTTATACATACAAATATCAATTAAACTGAATTCATTCACATTTGCTAGTAGTAGTCAAAGACTTCGTATATATATATATATATATCTATCAATAACAAAATATCCCAATATCAGAGGGAGCGTAAAAAACATACGGTCCATACGAGACTTTTATTAACACGAGATTTTTAAGATATTTCAAAGTTAGTATCTGCGGGAAACACGATAATTGGCCCCGCGTCTTGTGGAGAGCCGATTTCCTGCAGCTGATGGTGGAATCAAGGTAGGTGACATGTTTATTCAGTCAGCTCGTCCCCTTTTTCCCTATGTTCCTTATAGCAAAGAAATTACGCACCTATAGACGCGTATAAGACATATAATTTGTAAAGCCTAAATAATAGAAAAACGGTCCTTCGAAATGTGTCACATAGATACTTTTTTTAACCTATACGCATTAGAGTCAGGACTCTATAGGTTCTTGAACAGTTTTGCCGTTGTTTTACATTATGATATTTAAGCTTGTTGTTGATGTTTTGGTCGAGAGACTCAACGGTACTACAGGCTACGTCACTATTTCTTCTTTACGGTAAAAAAGCAGTCGATCGAAATCAAAGGGATCTAAATTTGAAGGATATGGGGACTGAAATCATAATTAGGTTCAGTGTTTTTCGATTCAGGCTGTGATCGAAGAATAGTCGCTATTGATTGTTGTGGCACAGGTCCACATTGAGGCTCTTACGGCATTTGAAACATCTGGCAGGGCTGAATTTTTTTCGGCAGTTTATTGTAATTATAGGTCTCGCTAGTTTCCATTGCAGATATGAATATCCGTTTGGCACTGGCAGAGTTGTCCTCTGTCCTGCTGAAAGCAATTTGATTCAATTGTTGTTTGTCAGCAATTTAATCCTTCAGACTAAGTATTTTTATAAGTAGCCAGGCCTCGTGTAGATATTCATTATACTTCTCCGGATAAGCCATGCTATGATGATAGGTAACTGAGTGCTTCAGAAATTAACGAAGAATAGTCCTGCACTTGTCCCAAAACCATATCACGAGAACTGTTAGGAAAGCGAAAACATAGTCAGAACGTATGCTACTTATTCATAGTTAGAAAGACACTGACAAACGATTTGCTCAGTTTGCTAAGCTAGACAACCGATCATATAACTTGTAAGTTGCGTGTGAAAGCAACGGTACCGTTCATTCGAGTTCAGCGAGATCTGCGTATGTACTTTGCTATTTCTAAATAAAGGATACTCTCTCTATAATAAATCAATTATGGTTTTTAGGGTGCTAGCATAACTCGTATGTTCATTCGGCGTTCGAACAATGACAAATCACAGTAATTCACGATAGTAACTACGCTTATCTCACCGTAAAGATTTGTGTTGTTGTGACATCTTTCGACCACGTTGCCGATAACGGAGACTAACCTCAGAGTGAACTCCTCTGTTCCGTGTTTAAATCTGAACAACAAAAAGCTCGCAGATCAGTTTTCCTAAAACAAAAAAAAATCACACCGATCCTGATCGTCTTGGACTGTGTCTGTTCGATGTGAAAATCTCGCATCCGCCTTAAAACGAGCAAATAAAAATTGACAAAGTTTGCCAAACTTAGAAAAACCATAGCGTATTTAGCACATTTTAGAAAAACATCGTAAAGCCTGCAATGGCACACCGATACCTTTCAAAAATTGTCCCAGCATTGCGCTAGCAGCTCCCTGCCTGATCGGTAAAACTGAGTTAGTCTACAAGGTTTTTTTGACTTTGCGCTTACAGAACCATTCGTAGTATGGTATTAGGCAAGTGCTGACCTGTGACACCATCTGCGTACCATAATACTAACTGCCTGACTTGTAGCAATAAGCACGTTCGGATATGGCTGGCTAAGCGGCTGTTGCAGCAGAGCCAAAGCTAGAGGAAACTATTATATATTGATGTATGATTCTAAGATACGCATACAGATCCTGCTAACATTTGGTGATCGGCGAAGAGCCACTGATGTTATAATGGTCAGAAACTAGACCGTTGGGTCTAGTTCTCCCATCTTTAGCTTTGGGACCAGGAAGCATATCAAAACGACTAAAAATCAATTTATGTCAATTCGCTTTTGCCATCCGTTGTTTGCTAGTTCTCGTTGTCACACTAATTGTACCACGCAATCGGGGTGTGAATATGAACTACGTTTATAGGACAGACGTGCCAGCTTCATAAACACGAACAGCTGGACGTCTCAGTGTAAACTAGCGTTTGTAAATTCACACAAAAATTTATTCTGAATAAAGCAATGGACAACTGAAAGCAACAGGCTGAAGTAAACACTCTCTAAACTTAAGCCACGCAGTATTATCACCCATAACAAGTTCGTTTCTTGTTGTATAGACGACAACTTTCCGTACGAAATATATAGACTACTCGAAAAATTACTAGATTCTATAAATGCTAGCGGACAGTTAAAGGCGGAATAACGAAACGAACATGCCTACCCGAAATTCGGCGCCACACTTTTTTTAAGCCTGGAAGGGCTGCCAGTATGTCAAGAAAAATTTGCCCCCTTAAGAAAAACCTGTTGTGGATTTTGCAATTTATGGCTTTCATGGAACACGTAGCACTGGATAAACCGGCAACGTGTTTGAATGACCCTCAAAAGACCAATAAAATAATAATAGCGAAATGAGTCGCCCTTTTATGAAAGCGTATAGAATTTAGCGTACATAAACGTCACATTTGCCCCATCGTTTACTCAACTGGGTATATTAGATGGGGTATATTCATAATACATGGATATATTCGTTTCCGTGAATTTAGTTCAGTCAATCGTCGACAGTAGGGGTAAATGGCATCTTCATTCGTCGGTTGAGGTTCAGCCTTTGCCTTGCTGAGAGGTAAAAGGTTCGGTTATAGGCCTGAATAGCTGCAGACGTAATTTAACGTCGGTCGATATTTAAATCATTTAGGGACGCTCAAGTAACAGATGAAAGAATCATATTCAAAGATCTATCTACTGTCACAACACATTTCAACTTGGTTTTAACAAAAATTGCTATCCAATTTTGGATTTTTGAGGTATTACCTGTTTTTCTTCGTGATTCAAGCACGGTTTGAACCAAAGCGAACGATCTGGTATAATGCGAGTCTTTACGTACATTCAATACAAGATAATCAATAAGACACAATGCAATTTTTTTTTTCAGGTAAATAAGGTAAGCATTTTAGACCTTTGCTCTCCTTATGCCAGTTTTCTTCTATAAAATTTGTTTTTGTTATTAAATATCAAAAGACAAACATATATGTTTACTCCATAGGCAAACATTATGTAATAATCAAATAAACAGAAATGGTCTCAAATGCTTATGCAATTTTTTAATTTTATCATTGTTTAAGATGCAGGCGCTGAAAATTTGCATGTGATTGGTCAGCTACTAATTTTTTTCTAAGGTTCAAATCTTGTTTTGATCCTCAACACTTCACTGCATTCAATCACTCGGCTAAGAAATACAATACGGAGTTATAGCATCTCATGTCGCGTCTTTGGTGTCTGCTTAATAACTATTAAATCTCTTTTTTTTTTTTTAACAACATTTTCTCTAGCTTCGAGGTAAATGTCCCATAGCGAATTCCGTTTCCATATCTCAGCGATCTAGAGTGGATATAAGGTGAAAGTGCGTTACAACTCTAGTACCTATTAAAATGATGCTGATAGAATACATGTTAAAAATACAGTAAAAAAAATATATAAGCATGCTCTATTGAAACATATTCGCTATGTACGTACTAACTACGCTATTGTATAGTAGCTTGTTGTCACGGATTTACTGAACGATCAGCCCAGACACAGATTAGTGAAAAATAAGCGGCTGGAAAAGTACGACTATTTTGCCATTATGGATGGCGCGACATCAAACGTCAACATGTTCCGCCACGATGCGTTTTAATCCGTCAGTGTTTGGTCTGGACCTTTGCCACACCAGGGCTGTACCGGAGCTATAAAAATTATACCAGGTGTTATTTTGGCGGCACTTGTAGGTCCCTTAGACCCTGGAGCAGTACCATGATCGTCTGCTCTGCAACTCATCTTTTATATATACATATACATATATATATATATATATATATATATGCATACATCAAGCAGACATAATCTACTGCTGCTGTGCCGCTATCTTTATCAGCATTTCCATCTTTTATTAGCAGGAATTGATAGGCATCAACGG